TGAATCAGAACAATTACATGTATGTTTTAATAAGTCATATATGTTATTTTGACTCTACAGATTACAAGTTTCCAAGTTTTACCCTTGCTGATGCACTAGGTGTAGTTCTTGATGACATTTAGATTTGCTCCTACCTTGTTCAAACAGAGGCTAGGGCTAAAGTGGACTTGCTCTGGCATTATTGAACCTGCTCAGAATATAGACAGGGCTGACCACTGGCTATAAATAGAGGTAGAGGACTACACAGTATATCCCAACTATTCCTTCCAGAGTGTGTTGCCTTCAAGGTAAAGTACCTCGAAAGACAGGTTTTAGGTGAGGACCCTTAAGGAGTAAACACCATAAAAAATGAAGCATTATCTTTGGCATCATAAGTGCATGCTATCATCCCTGCACACTATTAAAGAGTTAATAAATGTACTTCAATTAATGAGGGGTTAAGGATGTGCTATTTGTAGTTAGAAGAAGTCTAGGCCAGATTACAACGTGTTACACTCAAGCAGATCTGATTTTAATGGAGTTATTTTAGGTTTACACCAACTGGTGTGCAGAAAATGAATGAAAAAGCATATAACAATATCAGAAACCTTCATACTTTTAATGTGATCATTCTGTTATTGTATTTCCTGCTATGTCTTAAATGTTTGTCATGTTTTGTAAAAGGGTCCTCATCACATGTGGTTGTAGAGGGTAGGTGAATTAGAGGGACCATTACTAGCCAATCAAGTTTCCACTTTCATTAGGCCTGTTTTAGGCATAGGTATATCTCGGGCTAGGGAAAGTATGTCAGAGAGAGAGTGGATTGTATCAGCCTGATTCTTAAGATGGCATGTGCATGTGCATGTATTTATTTTTTCCAGTTAAAAAGTGTGTGATTTTCAACACCCCTAAGACAGACAGGATCAAAAGCAAGCACACCTATATTAATGAATCTGATCTTCCACAGCTTCAAAACCCTTACAACAAAAGTGAACCAGCTCTAATAAGCCAGGCAAATATTATTATTATTATTATTATTATTTAAGTAGCAGGCATAGTGTACTATGACTTCCTAATCTTAGGCTTACTTTACATACTGGCTTTAAGGAACTTGAGGGTATCCTCCAGAGTACAAAGCTGGGATTTTTGGGACTCATACTGACTCCACCCCGCATGCTCTCTTAGAGGGATTCTCTCAGGCATGCTCTGCCATGCCAACCCACTCCCACAAGGAAATCTGGAATGAAGCTGTGAAATGTCATCATCAATATGGTTGCTTTCAAGCACACTGGAGACAGGTCTTCAGAATAGCCAGGGATGTGCCTCTGGAGTTGCTTCACTGCTGCATTTCCAGCTTTTGCATGTGCAACTGGAAGCAAGTGGGCAGAGCATGCTCAAGAGAGTCCCCACCAGGAGCACCGGAGACCCGTATAGTTGGCCAACTGTTCCTATCTCAGGATCATGTAGACCAGTGTTTCTCAACCCATGGGTCACAACCCAAAAGTGGGTCACAAGAATATATGAAAGGGTTGTGAACAAACTTTAAAAATTGATTCTTTAAAGGAGCAAAACATGGGTAGAGCCAGGGGGCTGTTTGCTACTTAACTATTTACTGGGTCAGGACTGGCAATCAGTGTTTACAAATGGATCCTGGTTCAAAAAAAGTTGAGAACCAGATATAGACCATTCCTTACCACCGCAGCCAGCTATCAGAGTGCAGAAAACCACAGCCACCACAAACACTCAACATTGATGGGTTTTTTTCCTTCTGAATTAGAACATAAAACGGGCACGAAAAAGTAAAAGACAGCCAAGTCAGAACCATTTTCACTGCTCTCCACTCCTCCCAAAGGGCTCAATGGGACTGTTTTGGCTGGTTTCACACGTTATTGTTTGTTTCAAGGTTTCTTCTCCATTCATTCCTCTGAAAAACCTGGTGTGTAAAGCTTGCCATTCACATCAGGGGCAGACCTTTTTGCAAATGGATTTAAAATTAAAATTCTAAAAGCACTAGCCAAACAGCGGACAATAAGCTGAATATGAGCTAACAGTTTGCCCTTGTTGCAATGTAGGTTAACAGCATACTGGGCTGCATCAGTAGGAGTGCTCCCAGCAAATCAAGGGAAGTGACTATTTCTCTCTATTTAGCACTGGTGAGGATACATCTGGAGTACTGTGTCCAATTTTGAGCCCCCCACTACAGAAAGGATGTGCACAAATTGGACAGAGTCCAGCAGAGGGTGACAAAAATGGTGAGGGGGCAGGGGGACATGACTTAGGAGGAAAGACTGCTGGAGCAGGGCTTAGTCTAGAGAAGAGGAGACTGAGTAGAGATTTAATAGCAGCCTTCAGCTATCTGAAGAGGGGTTCAAAAGAGGATGGAGCTAGACTTTTCTCAGTGGTGGCAGATGACAGGACAAAGAGCAACAGTGCCAAGTTGCAGCAAGGGAAGTTTAGGTTAGACATCAGGAAAAATTCGCTCACTAGGAGGGTAATAAAATACTGGAACAGTTTATCCAGAGAGGTGATGGAATCTCCATCCTTGGAGGTTTTTAAGACCCAGCTAGACAAAGCTTTGGCTAGGATTAACTAGTTGGGGATGGTCCTGCTTTGAGCAGGGGGTTGGACTAGGTGACCTCCTGAGGTCCCTTCCAGCCCTAATCTTCTATGATTCTATGATTTAAACATATAGTTTCTATTTGCAGCATAACCTGAGGAAAAGTGACCCTTCTAGTCTCAGGCATGGATGGACAATCACATAGGACCTAGTACTTGAAAATGCCAAGTACCCCAGAACACTGTCCTCAACAGTGAAGTCAAGAGATCAGGACTCTCAGACTTTGCAAGAGGCATGGGATGGATACGATCTTTACTAACCTCAAACTGACCTTTAGCTCCAGGTGGTTTGCAGTCCAATGTCTGAGGAACACTACATATCAGCTGTTACTAACAGCCATGACAAGTCACAAGTCCCAGCTCTGGTTCCACTGCAGATAAATGGAGAATTCTCCTTCTGACTTAGGTAAGAGCAGAAGCAATCCCATGATGAATACAAACTTTGACAAAATGATGTCATTCTGTGAAAGATGTGGAACTGGATTCACATCCCAGGATAAATCTGCTAAATCCTGACATTTTCTTCAGAACCCTCCTTAGAACCTGGTATGCCAACGATCGTTCCTACATGATTCTCAGTAGCAATAATCCCTCACTGTCCTCCATCTGGACTCTGTCTTGACTCATTTCTTCTCTCTCTCTCATCTAAATTAGCTCCTGACCCTAAAAAGTGCCAAAAACTGGCAGGATTTTTAGAGAGCCTCTAGTTCTCCCCAAAGTCACTGAGACTTGAAGGCATTCTTCCCTTCTCTACAGAGCTAAGTACAGACTTAGAACTTCCGGGACAGAAGTTCAATAAACTAATTTAAACTAAATTAGGTAAGTCTGATACTATGTCCATCCAGGTTTATCTGAAACCAGTTTGGGCCATTTTGAAAGTGATTTATGTGCACTGAACTTCTGTTGTGTTACAGATTTTAGCCAGTTTCTGATTGCTTATACCAGTTTGTATGTAACTTCTGTCTCTAGTCCAGATATTCAGCACCTTGCACATCTTCTTCCTGTTCCTCAGTTTTGCCTGATTTCTGTGGCAGCAGAAGCAGGGATATTGTGAGAATGCACCGGTGGCCTAAGGATAATGGGCTCCATATAATTAAACAACCATTTAAAAAAACGTTGGGGCACCTAGCTTCACCCCACAATGAAGAGACAGGAATGTGTCACTAGTCCCTATGTTCAGCCTCCTTTCAGCCACATTTTTAAAGCTATATACTGGAATCACAGACTATGAACATGTCATATCTTGTACAGCAAGCCAAACTCTGCCTGCATGTCAGATATAGAGAAGGTCTGAAGTTGTGCTATAAATAGCAGGATTCAACCATGTGTTTCTAAAGTGCTGTGTAAATGTATAGTGCTCTGCACCTTACATTAGCATGCTCCACTCTCCCATGCCATGAAAGTGAAAATCTACAGGTGCTAGCTGTTTTCCTTTCTCTTTCACATCTAGTTGTAATATTTATGCCATTTTCTGCCTTCTTAATCAAAGGAAAATGACTTACTCCTTCTCTGTGATCTGTTTTCCTCAGTAGCTACTACTGGCATAAGCTCAGACATGGTAGTGAGGATAAGCAATTGGAGACTGAGGTATTTTGGTACAGAGACAATTGTTATACTTACAGGGAGGCTTTTAGCAAAATGTAAACAGCCACAAGGGCTACTCTTTGATATTGCAGAAGGCTCTGTCCATCACACACAACCAGTTACTGGCTCCAACTTCCTCAATGCACTCACTGTGCATTCAAAATATTTGTGAATTAAAAACCAAATTTGTAGCCACAAGGTATGTGGCATAGGCTTCTTTTCCCTATACCTGGCAAACAGGAAGACTGTGGGAGGCTAAAGAGAGAGAGAAAGAATCCATAAAATGAAATGGGATTGAAATTCTTCTGCCCTTACTCAATTCTTCTGAAGGCTGAGCTAGTCCTGGCCCCTGCACAGTGATGGTGCTGTGCACTACCCAATATATAACCTCACTGTTTTGGCACACAGCACACACTTGGTATACAACCAGGAAAATGGGCCTTGAGGACATGCAAGGAGCAGATATAAAGGAGAAGGGTCTAAAGCTCAGGAGTCTACTACTGGAACACTGGACCTGGTTACCAGTTCAAAGCTGGTCCAAGACAGTGTTGAATAGAAGTGTTTTTAAAATAAATGTGTGGCGTTTACCCCTGTTCTTAATGGATTTGTGCTCACATTACCACTGATTCCCATGTAAGAAGTCTCAATGCAGAGACCTTGGAGTGAATGTGTCTGGAGACCAGGTTATATACTGTCCCATTCAAACAAGGGTTTAGACACAGAGAAAAGCAGCCCCATAAGGCTTATTCTAATGCATCCAATACTATGGTTGTCCATGACCAGCAGTCTTTCATTAAAAAGGGAATAATATAAATATTTGATCAGGATGCAAGAAAGACACCTCATTTATTCCATTTCCTGGCAGGAAGCAATTCTCAGGGACCTCTTGTGCCAGAGACAGCTCCCTACAATAGAAGAAATTAGCAGCTACCAGAGGTGTCAGACCCATTCCTCTTCAGTAGCTCAGACCCCCCACATAAGAGAAGAGGAAAAACAAGAGCATATATAGACTGTGAGAACCAAGAACATGGCCACTGCCTGAGGACACTCTCATGGTATGGGACACTGAGTGCCATATAATTGAATGACCATTTCAAGAGCTTGGAGCCACTGGATCCTTTCCCTGACTACCCAACAAGAAAGCGATTGGAGCTTGCCTATAATTGCTATTTTCAGCTTCCTTTCAGATTTTTAAAGCTATGGACGGGGCCTGAGGCAGTACTTGGGCAGCTTTAATGATACCTGTGTTAACTACCTGATGCTCGACATTCACTCATTCTTGCTCCCATCCCTGTTGTTAGGAGAGTCCCTGATCTTCTCCCTATCCAAGTAAATCTTAGGTGTTTCATGCACACCTGGGTCACCACTGCACTTTTCCCAAAATTGACTGGGACCAGCACCTTACTGAACAGATGTAGAAGGCAAACTCTCACCCCCAGTCAAAATTCAAATGAAGAGTAAAGTGTGCTGTGAAGGAAGAGCCAAATGTCTCTAATCAAACTGTTCTACACATGGGCTACACAGTTCCTTTAGAAACATAAAATGTGTGTCTCATACTTAGTTAATCCCGATTCGCTCTGCAAATAACATCCCCACCCAACCCAACACTCTCCCCATTCTGTCTGTTCTTACTGGTGACTTTCCTTGCTATTGCCACACTAAATAGGCCCTGCAGACACACATGCAGGCCACCAGCCTCCAAAGGGTACCCTATGCAGATGGAAAGGAGGTTGTAAGTGCAATATAAGTAGCCCAAGGACCACACACTCCCCTCCCCCCCACTCCAGGGAAAGCAAACACACCACCACTTGCACAATGCACCACCCCCACCCCTCTCCCCAGCTGGATCAGACAGATGATAGCCCATCCCCCTGCCCTGCTTTTTGCATGGGGTCTCCCGAGTTCATATGTAGGGAGTACAAGTCAACATGGCCTTCCACTCTGCTTTTCACTGAGGTTAAGAATAGAAAAATATATTTGCAGCACCATTTCCCAAAGGATTTTGGGGTCCACTGTGGCCCTTGCTGCCTGGAGAATAGCAGCCGATGAGTGAGAGCTGAGCTGAGGAGTAAAGATCCTTATCTGGCGTGTTTTGTTTTATTGCTTGAAAAAGCCTCTTGGTAGCACCTTGGAAGGAAATGGCCCCCTTTAACTCAAGCTGCACTTGGAAGTAACCAGCCCTGGGCTACATAAGCTGTGTGAGCTCAGCCATTGTTTGTGGCTGACAAAGTAACCGGTGCCATTTCTTCCTTTGATCTTCTTTTTTTTTTTTGTCAATAAAGAATTAAAAAGTGCCACAGCCAAAAAAAATTATAAAATGAAGCCATTTTTCCTGTAGTTTTTTTTTTTTTTTTGCTTGCCTGTTTGTTTTTCAAATGTGTATCTCACTGATTCCCGAAAGCAGCTCAGAACCGTGGCAGCTCTGCCCCTGTAAACTGTCAGAGAGAGAGACACTGGGAAAACCATTTCATGTCACAACAGGGGAAGAGGTCCTGAGAGTGCCACTTGGCTGCTTGGACCCTGTAGTGTCCCTTCTCTGCTGCACTGCACCCTGGGAAGGAAAAGAGGACTCACTTTCACTCTGCACAACAGCAGAAGTTTTGCTCAAGGCAGTAGGGAACCAATGAAAAGCAAGGCTGCCTGAGAGCTCCCCAGAACTCTGCCCTGCTGCAGCCTGCCGGCTAAGAGGTAGTAATCTTGAGGTGTCCACGTATGAAGTACCACTGACTGCAGTGCCCCGAGGATGGGTGGCAATATTAACCCAAGTGGCTCCATGTGCAGCTGAACCTTCCATACTGGGAAGCAAAGCATAAGCAGCCTGGGATTTATCTGTCTCTTTGGCAGCCCTGCCTTTTATCCTCTGTGCGTGGTTCTGGACAGTAGGATGAACAGGCAACGCTGGAATGGGGCTGGGAAGGATGGTGTCGTCCTGCAATCCAGTCTCTAAAGCACCTTGGGCTGTGCTGGGCGGCAAGCTGGTGGCAGAAACCTTCTTACCACAAGACTCACAGCAGAGTTTGTTGTAGCCAGGGATGGAGCAGTAGCGAGCCAGAACTTCCATCTGGCAGAATATGGACTTGTCTCCAAGGCAAGGCTCCTCTGAGACAAGAAGAGTTATAGACAAGAAAGTGAGTATCACCCAGGTCTACAATGATGATGTACACAATGCATAAACAAATTAATAACAACCTCAAATTACAGGATATATGGTTTTTACATTATCCCACAAAACTACTTTCAGAGTGAAATCTCATTACATTTGGCATCATGCCCTGACTAGGGTCAGTCAAAAATCAAAAGATTCAAGGGTTTGTTTGTTTTTTTAAGTATCCCAAACTGGATAGTTATCTGACCATCTCATATGTCTAGACCTTGTTAAAACAGACTTTCTAGTTTGGGGCATGTCAGATGCACTTGCCTGCTCAGAGGAAGGTGTGAGAGAAATACAAAAATACAACTGCATTTAGAAAAACAATGTGCCATCCCCAAAGGTGTCACTTCACAGTATTAGGTTACACCCATTTCCAAACAAAATCAGGTAGTGCAGAGATGAACAAAAGTTTTCTTAAATGAACCAAAATGGTGAAATGTTTGGCCCAAGGGATTAACAATAGGATGCAAGACCTCTCACCATTAGGACATCAGCTCAAAAAGGAAAATAATTTAGATAAAGTTCACAAACTCCAGATGCAGCCTACTAAACATTTTTACTTCTGTGATTACAATGTCCAGTGTAATAGACAACAATTAATTGTAAACATAGCAACTAAATATAAGCAAATGACTCTGTCCTTTTTACTTTTGTAAATGAAGTTAGTCTGAATTCATATTAATAGAGACATCCATCCATTCAAAAAGCTGAAGCAAAGCTAGTGGAAGCCCACTCTCCCCTACCAGCCCCATGTCAATAGGCCTCTACAACGTTAAGGGGCAAACATTTTTAGGGATGAGAAATTAATTTATTCATTCAAGGTCTATTTCAAAGCTCTTCTAATATCCAGGAAGTCCTATTCACTTGAATGGAATGACTCCCCAGTTTAAAGTTACGCGTGTACTAAAGTTTGTTGCTGAATTTACACTTGGGCTAAGGCTCCTTGTCTTCCTCATTTCTGTAAAGAAGCAAACCTACTTTTGGGATCATATTATCAATAAAATACCAAGAATACCATTTGTTCTATTCAGCTATTGACATTTGCCCAATGATGAATTGAGACTATCAACTTGAGAATGGCCATTCAATAGCAACCTTCTATCACTACCCAAGTCAGATTTTAAATAATTTGAAGTTATGCATTCCCTCTCGCAATAATCTTCTGTAACAGGGGGTCCTTTTGCCTTTGACCCGCCCACTTGTTTCTGGGCCAATCGCTCACCTTCTCACCCGCCACGCTGGGATGATAATTAAATTAAGATGTTAATTAGGCAGGAGGCTGCCCATTTCTTGCCCCAATGCCAGGGAGCACTATTTGCAGCTCCGTTCCTCCCCTACACCACAGCCCAAGCCTCGCAGATGGTATCCACTAGTTGTTAATATCACCGGCCCCACTCTGGGCCCAGAATCCTCCAGTCTGAACCCCACCTGGATCCCTCCACTCAGGCGGCCTACTCTTCCCTCATTCAAGGCTGCCTAGCTCCCTGAGCTCTTCCCCCTTACGGGTGTGGTCCCCTGGGACCTTTGGCCACACTGGCCCTGGCCCACCTCCAAGCCAGTCGGGACCCCAGGCCCTCAGTTCTGGGTGTCCCTCACGGTGGGCCCCCAGCCCTTTGACCCTTTCCAGTCCTGGCCCCAGCATTGACCAGTCAAGGGATTTCAAGTCAGATTTTTGAGTCTATAGCCCTCTCTCTCTCTTGGGTCCACCTTCCTGACCCTTCTATGGGGTAACCCACCCAATTGTAGGAGCTGGGTTTATTAAGGCACCCCAACCCACCTTTCACCAGAGTGGCAACTGGCCTAGCATTCCCTGGGGGCTCCTGCACCACTGGGAGCACCACCAGGCCACCCACTCCTGGCAGGGTGCAGTTTTAGGTCATGCCCAGGACCAGGAGCCTCCAGACCATCCCCTACAGCTCCTGCCCTTACCTCCAGAGTCTTACATGCAGCCTTGCAGCCAGATGATGTTACTGCCTGGCCTGCCAGCAGCGAACTGTTCTGGTTATATAGGCAGCCAGAGATCTAAAATATGGCTGCTGCAATCAAGGACCTGCTGGTTGTTTGGCTGAGTCCTTAAAGTAGCAGGTGCCAACAGTGCCTTGCCACACCATCCCATTTCTTTCTCCAGCATACTTGAAGGCAAGGACAAGGCCATCTGACCTAGCAAGTTACTGTCCTTTGAACAATGTTAAGGCTTTAAAATCCATAACTGTGTTTATGAAGGGGAGAAAAGGGGGAGGTGGAGAAAAAGGAAAAATACTCTGGGCAAAAAACACTGGAGTTTGGGTGAGAGAGAAGTCTGTATCATGATGGATCCCCTCAAGTGAGTATTCCAGCAATAAGCAGTTGCATTTCTGACCCAGAATTGGGGGACTGTTTTGGAAACAACTACTCTCCTGTTTCCCTTTCAGTCTCCTCGCACCTCCCTCTCTTGCACCTCCCAGAAGCAAGGTGTCAAAGCCAGAAATCAGACTGGTGTTATCCCTGTAGAATATGCCAGTGACAGTCGAGGATCAGCAGGAAGGATTAAGAGAAGACTGAAATGAATGTGAAATGGGGGAAATATGGAGATGAGGTAAGTATACAAACAAATAACAGTAACCAACATTTTCCTAAATTAAAGACCTGGTGTCCATTATGACAGACCATTTCAATAGCACGTTTTCATTCTCCTAGGTATTAAGTCAATCCTTGCAGTTGAAAGGCCACTAGATGGCATCCCTATTTCAAGGTTGGAAACAAAAGTGAGCAAGGACACAAAGGTGATTTGAATTTCCAGAGGGAAACCTCTGGTAAGTTTGGGCAGTAGCATAACTGAGTGGGGGGCATAGTCCCAGGCATGGCCTTTGTGCAGGAGAGGAAGAGTGGGGTGCAAAAATCACTGCTGCTACAGCTGCCATTTAGCCACCTCACCTCCCACCACAAACAGCATCATCCACAATGGGGAAGATGGTAGAAAAAAAGAACAAGGCAGGGAACCTATACCTCATTACTCAAGGGGTTGTTTTCTCAACACTCAGTTCAGGGGAGTGTTGAACAGTAATCTGCAGGACCAAAAAGGGTGGTAGTAATCTAATTTTCTCTGTTTAGTTATTTCCACCCAGAAATACATTTGATCTTGGAAGAGGAGAACAGGAATGTTGGTAGTTTATAAACTTTTTATAAGCAGAATCTTCTCCTGTGTGATTCAGGTCCTCACTTAAGCAGTGAGCAAAAAAAGACATGTCTGATCCTTATAAAGAGGATTACTTACTTGAAGATACCTTGTTAACGGGATTTTTGGGCCCATCCTGTGGCACCCACTGTACTTTAGGAGTCACATGATCACTGTTGTCAGCATTCTCTGTAATACTTAGTAGCTTTCCTGAATGCGGAACAAGGTAAAAAGTGTTGTCATCATGATTACCTAATAAGAAGCATTTCCAAAACAATACAAGGGGGGAGGAGGTATCCATGCAATACAGACTTTTCACCTCTAAAGGAAGAAGTCAAGACTTAAAAGTAACTCATGTTTTGGGGTGTCCCAGTTGTTGAGTGTTTAACTGAAGACACCTTAAAAAGGAAAGTGATTTTCAGAGAGCAGGTGCTAAGCTTTCTTTCAATCAGACCCCTATGAGGAATTTCAGGCCAAGCACCCAAAAGCCTTTTAAACATCCTGGAGTTATATTAAAATAAATGTGCTGGTGTCACCTTAGTCTCTAAATATTCATATCACAAAAGTACTCAAAAATATTATATGGCCCCTACTTAAAAAAAGGACAGAGACTGAAAAAACAAGGTTCTGTAAGTCCAGGTAATGAATATCCCATAGGTTAATCTTTTCTTTGCTGGTCCTCAGGGTCACTTGCTGGGCTTCCATGATTTAATCAAGAATCCTCTGAATCTGATGGAATGTAAGGGCTGAAGCCCAGATACTTAAAAGTAGGTGCCTAACTCCCATTTCAGAATATGAGCTGTAAGGCATGAAGACCTGGGCTTCACTGACTATAGTACAGTCAGAAGCACAGCAGACATAGCCTCTATTGACAGGGGAAGCAGCTGTTTTAAATTGAAACAAACTGGAATAATCAATACCCACTATTTCATTAAATGGATTCCAACTCTTTAACATATATCTGACTCTTTAGCATATATATTGTAATAGCTTCTCTCTAGGCCTCAGTAAGTCAATTACTTCAACGTCTATAGCCTTACAACCCAGCACAGCTGATCTATATAGGTGTAAATGAATGGAAAGGGGTCCAACTTACTCCACCTTACTGCTCACTTCTGACTTTGGCTCCTGACTGACTGCAGGAGAGTCTGCCCCAGTGAAATTTCACCTTCTCTCTCACCTGGGCATACCGGCATTTTGCAGACTTGGATGGTTGCTGGTTTCTCACCCTCACACTGACCAATGCTGTTGTCACTGGCTTTGCATACCACCTGGCGCTGCTGGATACCTTCTCCACAGCTTACTGAGCACTGTACCAAACCATCAAGGAGAGAAATACATCAGTCAGTGATGGAGGAAAAAGCAGGGAGGGATGTACTGAAATGTATTGCATGTGAAAAAAGGCTACACAAAAGAACATTGTTTGCAACTGTGCTGTGCACCTCTCTAAGGTCATGTATGTAAATGTAAACAAAACAGCATTCAAAGTGCTTCTTATGAAATTTATCCTCTGGCCTGGACACTGCTAGAACTTTCAAGATGACATTAATCCCTATTTGATAGAAATATTCCTGCCTTCTCAAACACTTAAGGTGAACTAAATGCCAAGTATTTTCAAACATGCACTCTTAAGGTAGCCACTGGTCAGCCTTTAAAAAGGACTTCCTTCCCCACCCCCCATCCCTACTCTGCCACAAATTTCTCAGCTCTCCAGTGTGGGGAGAGAGGTATTTATCCTGCCCACTTCCACACACTGATCTGCCTCTAAAGAGATTACATGGAAAGCTACTTTACTGTTATTTTTGCACAAATCCTAGTAATAAATGCCATCAGCTGTCCATGCTATTATCTAGTTAACTAACTCATGTGCTTCTTCCATCAACACACAACAAATATATTCCTCTCACAGATCTCAGCCCTTACAGCCTGGTCCAATGGGAGTCTTCCCATTGACTTTGCTGAGCTTTGGATCAGGACCTTAGTGCAGGGGTGGCAAACTCACCCAGCTCTGCAGGCCGGATGAGGGTTACTGAGCTGATCTGTTGGTTAGACCAGGACCTACTCCCCATGTAGCACTCATGGTGCCAGGTCCAGCCTGTGTGCCATGCGGCAAGCATCTGCCCTGGGCTCAGTGTGCATAGAGCATGCAGGGTGCCAAGGGGCATGTGCTGCCCATGCCGTGCAGACTGCACTTAGCACTGCAGGCAGCCTGAGTGGGGGTCGGTCCAGGGTGCCACACGCAGACTGCACTCCAGGTCCCCTGCGCTTCCTTGGGCTTACTCCCCATGCTATGTGTAGGGCATGTAGTGCTAGGTCCAGCCTATGTGCCACATGCAACACACAGGGATGAAGCATGGGATTAATCCAGTAACCCTCAGACTGTGTGTTTAACAACCCTTCCTTAGAGTAAACATGTCTCTTCACAATGTGACATGAGAAGTGTTGTTCGAACATCCTTCCTGACAGTGAAAAGGCTCTCAGCAGCTTCAGAGCAAGTGATATTACCATGTTAAAACTGGAGTTGCTCAGCCAGGCTGCCTGCCACCAACAAGCCCTGTTTGGTGGGTGTAGTTTGGCAGTGAAGACTATGCAAAGATATGAGCAGCTGCTTTCAAAGTGAGCATCAGGTTTATGAAGTGTTTTGGACAACGTAGATCAACAGACCTTGAAATAAAGTGTTAATACATATTTGTCCTGTGCTCATCACAGAAGCTGAGGGAACTCACCTGGGACCAGGCCCCAGTCCTCCACTGTGCTGGACAGGGTAAGCGGTTGCAAGGCCTGCGTGTGTCAGGGCGCTCTCCTGTGCAATACTTGGTGTGTACCGTCCGGTTCGTGCCATTCTGGAGGTGTTGGACACACTGCACAACCCTCATCTGAATGCCCAGCTTGCCACAGGATTTGCTGCAGGCTCCCCACTCTTCTGCCAACCAGCTGAATAATGAAAATACCACTCTGTCAGCTTGTTGAAGGGGAGGACTTTCTGGTTGGCAGAACCAGAACACTAAGATCTCTCTGGAACATTGAGATCCAAGTTGTACTGAGGTGAGGTCTGCGCTTTGACATTACCACTTGCAGCACAGTCTCCAAACTAAAAAGTTAGATCTTAGAATCATAGAATCATAGAAGTAGGGTCGGAAGGGACCCTGTAGATCTTCAAGTCCAACCCCCGCCTGGGCGGGAGAAAAACTGGACTCAAATGAGTCCAGCCAGGTAGGCATCAAGCCTCTTCTTAAAGATCCCCAGGGTAGGAGCCAGCACCACTTCCCTTGGAAGTTGGTTCCAGCTCCTAGCCGCCCTAACTGTGAAGTAGTTCTTGCGGATGTCTAATCTAAACCTACTCTCCAATAATTTGTGTCCATTATTCCTTGTTATGCCAGGGGGCGCTAGGGGAAACAGTGTCTCCCCCAAACCCTTCTGGTCCCCCCTAGTGAGTTTATAGACAGTCACCAGGTTCACCCTCAGCCTTCTCTTGTGAAGGCTGAACAGGTTTAGGTCCCGCAGTCTTTCATTGTAGGGTCTGCCCTGTTGTCCCCAGATCATGCAGGTGGCCCTCCTCTGGACCCTTTCAATGTTGTCCACATCCCTCCTGAAGTGAGGCGCACAGAACTGGATACAGTACTCCAGCTGTGGCCTGACCAGCAATGTTAATGCTACCCTCTTTTGTATATACATTATGAAGCCACTGTCC